AGCTTACCAAGCAGATATACCATTTGCTCTTCCATCAATTTGTTTTGCTGCCCAGGGAATAGCCTGCCTTTCCTATTCCAGGGCACTCCTCTATGACGAATAAAGCCCAGTTGCAAGAGATTTGTGATTAAGTATTTCTCTGAATGGCTTCAAAAATGTAGTCTGATGATCAACTGTGTTAGAAATAAACCATTAGGCAAAATGTCATTATGTTACAAGTTTAATTTATAAATGAACAGGTTTATCTTAGTTTACCCGAAGGCAGGCCATATGGTCCAATTTCTCAAACACTGGGAGGAAGACTTATGAACCACCCGCACTCCAGAAAAATGCCAAAAAACTCTTCACTCTAAAAACCTCATTATGTGCCAGATTCCAAGACCCAACTATAAAAAAACTTATCTCAATGGTATCAACCCCGACGGTTCTCCAGAAATACAGCCTAGAGGTTTCTAATAAATGCTTCCACTGCAGGACTGAAAAAGGGCTCAACCCTCCATGTGTTGTTGGTCCTGCCCAAAATTCAGACCCTTTCGGATGAAGATTAGAGAAGTCTCCTAAAAAAAACAAAACAATTTAACCAGATTCCGCAGGCCTTCTTCTTTCTATGTCATTCTACCATCCCCACTACAACTCTGTCCACACCTACCTCAAATGCTGCCAAATTCCTTATCCCTCTGAAATGGAGACCCTTCTCTCCCTATATTCCTGTGGCTACCTGAAATCGAAAATGTTAGAGAAATAGACTTAAAGCCTTACACAACTTAAAGCCTGACACAAAGGCCACACCTAGCCTCCTAATTGGCCCCCTCCTCCCCCAGATATCCCCAGTCTCCCCTACCCCCAGTTTCTCTCACCCCCTCTTCCTCTGTAGCTCCATCTTGCCCCCACACACTCCGCCGCCTCACAGATGTTCTATGGGCGCCGCCATATTGGCCGCTTCAGGCATGCACTGCATGAATGGATCCTCCGGGGGACCAAAACTGGCCAATTCACGATAGGCTGTGGAGGTAGGGGTAGGGCTGAGAGGCAGAGTGTCCAGAGAGGCAGAGAATTAAACATTTTGACCCAATAAAGGTTCCAGGAGCCTTTCATGTGGCAGGGACCCCTACTGCCCATGGGTCCTCAAGCAGTGCCCGAATGGTCAGCCCGCCCTTGGAACAGTTTATTTCTGAACCATTAGGTTCTCAGTAGAACATGTATCCGTTTTAGTCTATTTAAACTGAATTTCTACAGAATTTTGGAGTTACCGTAAAATTATGCCACAGTAGAACTCTAGGCAAAGAAGTAATACACAGTTAAATCCATATACGGTAACTGTTTTCCATGCCAAGGCATTGTCAATGCTCTGCAGCTAGTTTTTTGAAGCACAGACCTCTGATATGCTGCATAAACAGGCAGGTAACAGCCCTACTTCCTATGGCACATCTTTGACTTCAGCCAGCTAACTCCAGCAGGTATCCAGGATAAGGGTCCAATGAACAGGTTTCTTACATGGGAACTTCAGAAAGAAATATTGGTATTGCTTGACTGACTGTGAAGTGTAGCAGTGAATCACTGGGCTGGCTGAACAGAATCATTATTCTGACTCAACTACGAGGCCATAAACTTTCTCCAGTGACGTATACAGCTATACCACGTGGTGTTGAATTAATCCCTTGCATTGGGTCAGATAGTTTAACTCAATGAATAAACTCACATGTTGAGGAAGTCAGATGAGGAAATACATTCGAATGTTCCGTTTAATGGAGAAAAATCATAGGTAGAAACGTTAATGTTGTAGCCTCATGGAAAGACGCATTCAGTAAGACCGGATACAGTGGAATGACTACCAGAGAGAGGCAGAGGGGAGGGATATACACAAGTATGGTGAGAGACTTCAGCTTAGACAGAAGGAGAAAGACACAGAGCAATAATAAACAAGTAATGGTCACAGAGAAATAATCAAATAGTAGCACAACACTCCCCGTCTGAAATCTTTAGATTTCATAACTTCAAAATATATATATTCAATAAGTCCAATTCTGAAGAATGTCTTGGAACCTGTAACAAGAAATATGCAACAAGCAAACCTAACATAAGTTCAACTGGATGGTAGAACATGTAGTAATCCAGCATCGGGCATCTTCAGAGAATACTAAAGTTCCAACTAAAAAAAAAAAACCATGGTTATCCGTAATCTACTCCCTTCCGTCCAATAGCATGGCATAGTGGTTTCATAAGTCAGTCACCTGGCAAAGGGAGTTCTAACTCTGTAATTGGTCAAGTAAATATTTGTGTTGATCCTCCCTTGGTTACCTTGTCCTCTACGTTCTGGACTTGTCATCACTGGGCATAACTTTAGTAATAAGATGCATAGGCCATTCATTCCGACAAACTTCCTTGTCCTTTAGGAGAATGAGATCTCCAACCTTAAGGTTAGGCTTAGATGTTTGCCACTTGTGACGACCTTGAAGATGATGAAGATACTCCTGCCTCCAGCGATGCCAAAACACATAGGCTAGATGTTGCACCTGTTTCCATTGACAGCTGTAGATATTCTGAGAGTCAATTTCACTTGAAGATATTGCAGAATTCTTCATGCTACTCCAATCATTCGTTCCGAGGATCCTCCCATGTGTGAAGAATGTGAAGGGTTAAACAACCAAGTACATCCATTGTTGGCCAAGAAATTGTCTAATTGCAACTCTTTACATGCTCCAACAAAGTTAGTACCACAGTCAGATCTCAGTTGTTTGACTGGTCCTCTAACAGAGAAGAATCTTTGTAGAGCACAGATGAAGGAAGAAGAATCCACAGACTCAATCACTTCTATATGTATCGCTCGGATGCTAAGACAGGTAAACAATACAGCCCACATTTTACTATTGGCAGCTCCACGACGCGTTCTCCGAGTGATGACAGACAATGGACCAAAAACGTCTGCTCCAATGTAGGTGAAGGGTGGATCTGTACTTAGGCAATCAGCTGGGAGACTCACCATTTGTTGCTGCTGATGTCTTCCTCTTAACTTGTGACACTTGACACACCGGAAGAGCAGGGAGGAAACCACCTTTTCATACCAACAACCCACAAGCTGGCTGATCTGGTAGCACCTTCTGTAAACCGACGGCCTTGGTGTTGCACCCATTCATGGTGGTGACGAACCAGAGGAGTAGCAACCTGATGTTGATTTAGTATGATTATAGGATTCTGTTCCTTGCTGCATAGGCCAGATTTCCCTATACGACCACCAACTCTCAGTAGCTGATTGGTGTCAATTATAGGGTTTAGATTCTGATCCTGATACATACACCTCTTGTTGCACACAACAGATAATTACCTCTTCTGCGTGTGCAATATCTGCTGCTGTGGGGCATCTGGAACAAATGTGCCAGCCATGACACTCTGATGTAGAGTTCTTCGCAAAGCAACAAGCAATGTGAATTAGACGAGCCAATCAGTACTGTTAAATCACCTATTAAGAAGTGGAAAGTTCAGGATCTCTTGATACCAAGCCAAGGTCAGGTAGACCAAGAAAGATTGCAGCCACAACTGTCAGAAGAATTGTTTGGGATACAAAGGGAAACCCATAGGTAACCACAATAAAAATACTGGCTGCTCTGGAAAAAGACAGTGTGGTTGTGTTGAAGGAGCACAATATGATACTTGAACAAATATGAGCTGCATGGTCGAGGTGCCAGAAAGAAGCCTTTACTGTATCAATGACACAAAAGGCCCAGTTAGGCATGTTCAAAGGTGTTGTCAGGCATATTGTAACCGGGCTTTTTTGTGTCATTGGTGCAGTAAAAGCTTCTTTCTGGCACCTCCACCAAACAGCTCATTTTTGTTCAAGTATCACCGTATTGTACTCCTTAAAAACAACCACACCATCTTTTTCCAGAGCAGCCTGTATTTTCTATTGAGGTTGCCTGTGGGTTTTTCTTTGAGTCCTGGACAATTCTTCAGTTATGGCTGCAATCTTTTTTGACCTACCTGACCTTGGCTTGGTATCAAGAGATCTCCGAACTTTCTACTTCTTAATAGGTGATTTAACTGTACCGATTGGCATATTCAAGGCTTTGGACATCTTTTTATGTCATTTTCCATCTTTATAAAGTTCCATTACCTTGTTACGCAGGACTTTTGACAGTTCTTTTCTGATCCCCATGGCTCAGTATCTAGCCTAGTCAGTGCTTCCACATAAGAACTAACAGACTCACTGACCCGAATTGCAATTTAAAAAGCCACAGATGTGGGACATTAACCTCTAATTGGCATTTTAAAAACCCATGTGTGTCACCTTGTGTGTCTGTACCAAGGCCAAACATTCCAGGGGATGTAAACTTTTGATCATGGCCATTTGAGTGATTTTTGTTGTTATGTTTTAAAAAGGAGCCAAACAACTACTTAATAATAAATGGCTTTATGTGATCATCATCCTTCAATAAAAGATCATTTTTTGGCATGATCTGTCATATTTTCAATACCAATGCCAAAATTTCACAATTTCTGCCAAGGTATGTAAACTGTCGGCACAACTGTATACATATACAGGGTCCAATTAGACAGGAGCCAATAACCTACCAGCATGTCTGGGGATTGTGGGAGAAAACTAGTGTAGCCAGAGGAAACCCATGAAGGCACAGGGAGATTATCCATGCAGATAGTGTCCTGGTCAGGATTTTAACTGAGGACGCAAGAGCAAGAATCTGTTCTTATTTAATAAAGACCCGAAGGGAGTGGAATTTTCAGACACCACCTGGGGCCAAATTATTGACTAGAGACCAGTGTTATCAGACAACATCTTCTCTTAGCACTATTTATTGCCTATGAGAGGCTTCAGCTGTCAGTGCTTGTGGATATCTCCTAAACTGGAGATTTATTCTAAAATTTGAAAAAAAAAAAGTTAAGGCAAACTCTTAGCTGCAAATCGAACATCAAAATGTTTTTAATTCTTTTGATTTATTTATTTATTTATTTTTTTACAGCCTGAGACTGTAGCCACTGTGAAACGTACAATGGAAGCTCTGTTTGAAAGAGGAGCCATCATTCGAAACCTGGAGAGCCTTGGAGAGAAGAACCTTCCTTTCAGGATGTCTAAGCACAGCCAATATCACAGTCGAGGAGGGTATGACACCTTTTTTTTTTTTTTTTTTTTTTTTCTTCATCATACTTTAGTAAACGAAAAACGTATTTTTTTTTTTTAAGTGTTGGGTTATTGTTTGCTTCCTGTGTCTTGTTGGCGAGGTTTCAAATGACTTAGTGATTTTAACGGTTATTTTTTTTTTTTTTAATAAAAAACAAGTCTATACTTACGTGCTGTGTGTGTAGTGGTTTTGCACAGAGCAGCCTGGATCCTCCTCTTCTCAGGTCCCCCACAGGCTCTCCTGGTTCCTCCTTTCTGTCGGGTGCCCCCACAGCAAGCAGCTTGCCGTGGGGGCACCCGCTGCACTGTGTGTCCATTCACACATGGAGCCGTGGCTTGGCCTTGCCCCTCTCTCTCCTCATTGGCTGACTGGCTGTGATTGACAGCAGTGGGAGCCAATCGCTCCTGCTTGCTTTTTCAGCCAATGAGGAGGCAGAGACCGGGGACAGCCGAGGCTGTTTACATCGCTGGATCGCGAGGAGGCTCAGGTAAGTATTGAGTGAGCGGGGGGGGGGGGGCACTGCTGCACACAGAAGGTCTTTTACCTTCATACATAGAATGCATGAAGGTAAAAAACCTTCAGCCTTTACAACCGCTTTAATGTCCTGGAGGTACAACAAGAAACCAAAGGAAATCCTTACAAAGTGAAGAAAATAGGTGTCCCCATGGGAAGCCTTCCACTCACATGTAGCACCATTAGGCAGAGTAGTGTAATTATTAAAAGTTATCCGTGGATTCCGTAGGTTTCCTGCTTATTTGTGTGAACCCGTAGTATTCCAGTGGGTGTGTTCCCAGTTATGTCAGGGACCTTCCTGGAATGTACTGGTGACTTCTTATAAATGTTGGATTCCCCATTGCTTTCTGTTTCAGTGGCTATGGTCACCAGGACAAATATAGAGAGTGAATGCCTCTAGTATGGCTATAGATGTCAATAAAAACCCGACTGGCTTTGTTACTCCTCTATCCAAAACTAAAGAAAAAATGGCTATACATATACTTAATTAGGTGCATAGCTCCCAACCTCCTGAGATAGGTTTTCTTTTAGCAAGTGTGTGTTGGTAAAGGCTACACCATCCACTAAGAAAGTCATGAATAATTCATATGTAGAGAATGATTGGTTGGTTGGCTGGCTCATTTTCTTACTTTTTTGTGTTTGTACCTTTTTGCTGGTAGGTCAATTGACCCCTGTCTAAAATTTGCCCTATGATATTCTACTGAGCGCACCCAAGGTGGCTACCCCTGTATACAACTCTCTTGGGTGCGCTCAGGTAAGCATCTGAAGTGTATAATGCAATAATCCATCCGCTATATTACTTCTCCCTTGTGTTATTTACAGGTTTACACATTGGATCTAAATACCATTGAAGATGGTATCGAAATGGGGGGTTGGTTTGACAAAGAGGAATTGTCCTTCCAAGACAGATAGGAGCTGCATACAGGGGTAGCTATCTTGGGTGCACTCAGTAGAACATCATAGGGAAAAATTAACCTGCCACCGTGTCTTTGCAATGTGGGAGGAAACTGGGGTACTTGTAGGAAACTCATGCAAGCACATGGAGAACGTGCGGATGGTGGTTGTCCTGACTGGGAATCAAACCAAGGACCCCATTGCTGCCAGGCAGATGTGCCAACCACTAAGCCACTGTACTGCCCATATCACAGTGATCACGTTCTGGAGGCCACCTACTGCCCTCCAGCATAAGGTACCCCTCAAAGGGCTGTCGGAAACCTGCAGTAAAGGATGCAGCAACATGGAAGCTCTGACCTTTTACCTTTTTAATGGACTGCTGACAATCACACAGATATGAGCTTGCTGACATCTCAAAGCCATATAGTGTATAATTGTGTAGGTATGTTTGTGATTTAAAGGGTTAGTTTACCTTAACCAAAAAACTGCCTGTGCAGGAGGTAAGGGGAGACTGCTTATATAACCAAAATGTGCAGCTTTGACTAAAGTTAAATAATGCCTTTGCTATAGGTGTAGATCATCTATGTACCTCCCAAAGCCTGGCTAAAAAAGCTCCCAGCGATGGTAATGCCTTGTTGCTAGGAGGTTGCTAAGGCACTACCAGCGGTTGCTTGTCATCCCCTTCATTACAGGAGTGAACTCTCAAACCTCTTTCTCTGTCATAGCATCACTGAGCTTAGAGCTACTACACCGGGGAGTAGTTGCAGGGGGAGTTTGAGCTTGCTCCTGTGATGTTGGAGGAGAGCAGTAATGGCTGGGAGTGTCTCAGCAACAAGGGAGGACAGATTGACCCATCTCTGGGAATTTTCCATTCATGCTTCTAGAGGTTTGTGAACCGCCTACACCTATTGCAAGAGCATTATTCAACTTTGGTCACAGCTGCACAGTTTTTTTGTTTGTTTTTTTTTACCTACAGGTGACCCTTACCTGCATAGGCATTTTCTGAAAAAGATGAACTAATCCTTTAACTTAGGTTTTTGTTAGGTTGTAGGTCAAAAAGAAAACAATATTTTATTTATGTTTAATATTAAAAAAAGGATCAGAGCAAGGCATGCTGCTAAATAAACAATATCATATGTTTCTGTGAACTGAGCAAGTCATGGATCCTCTATGATGTGGAAACTTCCATTTATCTGGGCCTGACGGATTTAATTAGCACAATTTAGTCCCTTTTGTAAATTATCCATTGTCACTTTTTGTTAGTTGCTAAAGTCTTTCTTAGTGCAGAGATGTAAGACCACCTCGGAGGGTATCCCTGGTGGTTGCTTGGCAACTGGTAATGCCATGAAGTCAGCTGATCAGAAGTGTATAGCGGGAGGAAAGGGGTGTCTGCTTTGGGTTTAACCCTTGTATACAGTAAGGGGGGAGGGCAGCGTCCTATCTCAGGACAATAGCACACACTGGCATTCCAGGCTTGTATAGTAAGACCGTGATGAAATAAATTCCCAACCCACTAGAAAAGCAGAAGTCTGATTGTTAGCTGTTGGCAACTCTTCAACTCTGCTGATGTAATCCTATAATTAAGGGGATTTTTAGTGAAACAATGCTAAGAACTGGGATAGCTGGCGATCCGAAATGACCCCTTAAAGAGGAACTTTATCCTCTCCTTTACCTTTTTTTTACAGGGTTTTTTTTACAGGGTTATCCCCAAGAAAAGCATACTCACATGTCCGATGATCCAGAGGTGTCCTGTAGGGATCCGGAGCTTCACTGCTTTACACCCAGCCCCATGCTGCCATCTTCTTCTCTGAAGACCACAGGAGCTGGCTCTAGCTTCTGGGTTCTTGCAGCTAGCCCCCTGATGACATGCACTGCAACACATCAACAGGGGGAAGTTTACAAGAACTCAAAAGTGACCCCCCCCCCCCCCCATCCTCCCAGCTGTACATTCACAATAGTATACTAGAGTACCCAGTAGAGACATGAGTCCATGATGTCGCCAACATCCCCACCTTTTTTTGTTGCTTGCAGCTGCAGGATAGGGAATCCAATGGCCATAGTTGATTGAGCCCATGTCCTGCTATCATGTGACCGTTTTCCGTAGGTTTGCCCATATAGTAGCTCATCCCTACTCCAAATCTGTTATAAAGAGGCACATAGGATTCAAGGTTTTAAAATTAAGTCAGTGTATTAATACCATCCCAAATGAAAGCAGCCCTCTTTTGCTCAACTGCCATGAATCCAAGTTGTGTTTCTCTATTGCAACTGCCAATTTACAATTTCCATGGCAGGTTTGAACCTGATTGGTGGTCAAGGGACAATAAAGGAAGTTCTTCACACTGCCACCTGGACTGAAAGGTGTGAACGTGGCCAAAAGTGTCTTCAGATCTATTGGTTTACACCTGAGCTGGCCTGGCTCAGGTGTAAACTGGGTATAAAGCAGTGAAGAGCCAAGGATATGGTTCTTCAGTGCTTTACACCTCAGTCTGACTCCGCCATCATTTTCTTTGAAGTTGTTGGGAGCAAGATGTATCTTCTGAGATTTTCCATTACCTTCCAGAAAGTGAGGGGAAATCTCTCCCAACAGGAACACAGACACCCACAACAACTAGATAGCAACTCTAACGTTTACCTGTTTTAACCAAAATTGAATAAAAAGTTTTGGCTGGAGTTGGGCATTAAATCCCATCAATATACCCCGCCTCTTTCTGTCCATCAATGAACAGAACAATGAAAGTTTCTTGAAAAAATGAAGGGAAACCCCACACTAATGGTAGTAACAGTATAGGAATACAAAAATAAACCAGAAAGAAATATATGAATATAAGGCTCATATGTTACCATTGCGCAGCTACCACTAAAGTGCACTCACCACACTCCTACAGTCGTAAACCAAAGCAACTGGTAGCTGGTTTATGGCAGCATTATAAACTTGGGTTTTAAACTGCTATGCTAACTAAAAAAAAGTGATTACCGTAGTTTAGAAGCAATGCCTAGGTCAGTTTTATATGTTTAGGCTATTGGGAGCTGTATTTTAAAGTTATTTTCTATCATTTATTTGTAAAAGCAAATGAATTATACTAAAAACGTCTGTTTGGCAGCTACTCATGGAACAAGTGCCAGGGCTTTGGTCATGTGGTTACTGCTGGGAGGTATTGCTATCCAGGCAAAGCCTGCCATTCAGTATACAGTATCATAATATGCCTAAATAATTGACTCAATTTCTAAGGCAATGGAGCCTTGGTACTGGTCACATGCTCCCCCCCCCCCAGGCTTTTTGAGTTAGTTTTACACCTCTTTAGTTTAGGTTAACACTTGCTCCTGCACATTAGGGGTACAGCAGCCCATTCATTTGAATAGGCGGCTTTACCCACAAGAAACGCAGGGAAAGAAGTCCTAGAATCTTTTTTGCAAACATGCCAAACGGAATCTTATGGCACCCCTGTGTGTCTGCTGAACAGCAGTGCATTTTGCCTGCAGGTTGGGAACGCGTGCGGTTATGCACACTGTCGACTTGCACGTATGTGCACCTGGTGTTAAGAAGACCGTGTTGCCAACTAAAATAATTGCAAAG